GGTGCTGGGGATCGAACCCAGGGCTTCATGCCTGGTAGTCAAGCATTCCACCACCACAGTACACTCCCCTTTTCTTGTTTCTCTGATACAGTTCTTGCTGTGTATCAAATCTGGCTAGCCTCAAACTTAGAGCAATCCCGCTGCCTCAGCATTTTGAGGGTTGGGCTTACCCCATCACGTCTCGCTATGATGTGTGTATTTTTAAAATGTTTTTATTTATTTATTTTTATTCTATGTGCATTGGTGTTTTGCCTGCATGCATGTCTGTGTGAGGCTGTCGGGTCTTAGAGTTACAGACAGTTGTGAGCCGCCATGTGGGTGTTGGGAATTGAACCCGGGTCCTCTGAATGAGCAGCCAGTGCTCTTCATCAAGACCACAGGTCCTAGAAGCTGTTGGGGCTAACATTGTGCTTCCAAGAGCTCACGGTAATTCAGGGTTGTTATTGTCTGGGGAGGCAGAATGAGTGGTTTTCACAAGTCTATTAAGTACTACACAAAATGGGGCAGACTTACATATGTGGGAAGCTGCGTGGCAGAAACACATATTATTATTGTTGTTTTCTCCCCCTCTACTGGGGATGGAACCCATGGACTCATACTGGGCAAGGTGCTCTACCACTGAGCCACACCACAGCCCCTCACTGGGGGATTCCAGGCAGGGGCTCTACCACTGACCCACACCCCAGCCCCTCACTGGGGGATTCTAGGCAGGGGCTCTACCACTGAGTCATACCCCCAGCCCCTCACTGGGGGATTCTAGGCAGGGGCTCTACCACTGAGCCACACCCCCGGTCCCTCACTGGGGGATTCTAGGCAGGGGCTCTACCACTGAGCCACACCCCCAGTCCCTCACTGGGGGATTCTAGGCAGGGCTCTACCACTAGCAGCTATACCCTCAGCCTTAGACAAATGTGTTTGCTTGTGGCTAACACATTTATTCTGGGTCATGAACGTTATTGACAGTACTCTGGGAAGGTTTCTTTTTGTACATTTATAGCTTCTTCGGTCTTAGGAGGTAAGTGCTATTTTATGGATGCAAAAAGCCTATTTCCTCAGCAGAGCTGAGTTTCGGTGTTTATCTGTCTACTTCATTGCCCTGCACTGCCTCAGGAGGGACTGGAAACACTGACCTGCGCCCCTGCTGGGAGCTGTGGGAACTACAAAAGCTGGCGCAAGTTTACCATACTTCCAGCCCTGGGTTTCCTCACTGTGAGACAGAATTGACAGCAACCACGCATAAGGGATGTTATAGGAGCTGGTGAGGTAAAAGGACACCCTGGCCAGGTGGCACAAAAAAGCCAGAATCCCAGAACTTGGGAGATTAAGGTGGCAGGGTCAAAAGTCCTATACCATCTTGGTCTATATGGTAAGAACCTGCCTCAAGAAAAACAAATGAAATGGTGGGCTGGGGGTATGGCTCAGTGGTAGAACCCTGGCCTAGAATCCCCCAGTGAGGGGCTGGGGTGTGGCTCAGTGGTAGAGCCCCTGCCTAGAATCCCCCAGTGAGGGGCTGGGGGTATGGCTCAGTGGTAGAGCCCCTGCCTAGAATCCCCCAGTGAGGGGCTGGGGGTATGGCTCAGTGGTAGAGCCCCTGCCTAGAATCCCCCAGTGAGGGGCTGGGGTGTGGCTCAGGGGTAGAGCCTCTGCCTAGAATCCCCCAGTGAGGGACTGGGGTTATGGCTCAGTGGTAGAACCCCTGCCTAGAATCCCCAGTGAGGGGCTGGGGTGTGGTTCAGTGGTAGAGCCCCTGCCTAGAATCCTCCAATGAGGGGCTGGGGGCGTGACTCAGTGTTAGAGCATCTGCCTAGAATCCTCCAGTGAGGGGCTGGGGGTGTGACTCAGTGGTAGAGCCCCTGCCTAGAACCCCCCAGTGAGGGGCTGGGGTGTGGCTCAGTGGTAGAGCCCCTGCCTAGAATCCCCCAGTGAGGGGCTGGGGGTGTGGATCAGTGGTAGAGAGCTTGTCTAGTCTTCACAAGGTCTTAGGTTCATTCCTCAACAATGAAAAATAAAACTAACCACATTATTCTCATTATTATTCTTTTGCGGGTTTGGAATCCAGAGCGAAGTACCCTTCACCACAAAACCTATCTCATGGTGATTGTCGTTTATTTCGTGGACTGTAAATGAAGGACTCTGTACTGATTTGAGATGGCGCCTAGAGATGCCTAGAGGGATGTGTGACTTGGTCATGGGGACACCTGAGCCTCCTTGTACCAGGGATACAGAATCTAGCTTGACCTAGAAACTTTAGAGGTCTCCCTCTCCCTCTCTCCTTCCCTCCCTCTACCCCTCCTGCTGGCCTAATTAGGCATCCACCCCTCACACAATGCCCAGTCCACCCAGCCTCAGCAGGCATCCCTGGTTCCCCAGGCTTTCTGGGTCCTGGTAATTGGCTGAGCTTCTTACCCTCTTGGCTGTAGGTGAAAGAGGCCGTTTTGTCCAGCTGGGGAGGCAGAATTTTCAACCCAGCAAAGCAGAGGCTGCCAGCTTCCCACCTGACCAGTGATGACATCATTTGGAGGCATCAACACACCCAAGGGAAAGACTACACTTCCCAGAATCCCTTGCAACCAAGAAGCCTACAGCCATTTGGGCCCTTGAGATGACTGAGAAATTGGAAGTCTTAAGCTAAGGAAGATGAAGCAGGAAGGTAGAAAGTTCTGTCGCTGATGACTGTGTGGAGATTCCACTCAACAGTGTACTTCTGAGAATTTTTAAAAATACGTGAGACAAGTAATTCTATATCCATGTAACGTACTCCTAAAATATCGGCCCTCTTTTTTTTTTTTTTTTTTTTTTTTTTAATCTCTCTGTCCTTTTTTAAAAATTTTGAGATTATAGTCTCGTGTAAGCCAGGCATAGATATGGTCTCGTTGCATAGACTGGCCTGTTCCTTGAACTCCTGATCCTCCTGCCTCCAGCTCTGCTGGCATTACGGGCATGCACCACCACGATCATTGCGTTCTTGATGTAATGGCTGAGGTCTAGAAAGTGCAGGACAGCCGCTTGAGACATACTGTTCTCTAAGGGGAAGCAGGCCTGCCTTAGGGCAAGGGTGAGGGTAGGATTTAGTTACCCAGGGAAGAGGGTCTTCCCCTACTCCACACTTTTTGACTTTTTTTGTACCCAGAGAGGTCTGGCCCTTGTCCCCCCTGGGGAGCAGGACACCCCTCCATGTGACCTGCAGACTGTGCAAAAGCCCCAGGCCCTGCCCTGGAACAGAGAGGGCATGGGCCTAAGGTGCACATGCTCCCATCCTGGGCATGCTCTGGGGGTGGGAACCAAAGCAAGGGGCGGGAGCTGCACTTGACCCGGCTAGCGGCGGTGGAAGGAGAGGCCGACAACCATGTGCGATCATCCAGACGTTTATGGACTGGGCAGCTCTCCCACAGCTCGGCGCTAAATCTAGATGGAGGCAGGATGGCGGGACCGCGGCCTGCATCCGCGCTGCAGGTGAGCGCTCCTGGGCTCAGGGGTGGATGCGGGAAGATGCTGCCAGAGCGCGTTCCTCCCCAGGTCTCAGCGGCCTGCGCTGTGGCGGCTGCTGCGGCGGCGGTGGCTTACTCCAGGGCTGTGCAGAAGGACCGGGGCGGGGACACGGAGGTTGTCAGTCAGCAGGAGGACCCTCCCGCGGCCCCGCCCACCGCGCCTCCCGCGGACCCCACCCGTCCCGCTCAGCCTGTGCCATGGTCTGGGGTCTGGTGGTGCAGGAAGGTAGACTGGTCCTTCAGCTGGACTGTGACAAAGGAGGCTGCAAAGGAATTCCCGGGCTCGGGAGTGCGCCTGCGCGAACCCAGACAGCCACTGGCTGGGTCCCCGACTGGTCCTGGCTCAGGAACTTGATGTCTGAGTGTCTAGTCTGATGCGACCGGCAAGACTATAGACTGTTATTCTCCATCTGGGAGTACCTGTCCGGAGCACCTGCCCTAGTAACGCGGCCTTGGAGATCTCTGGGAATTCCTAGTATGATGGAGGAGACATGGCCCTGATTCTGGGAGCTCCCAGTCTGATGGAGGAGACATGGTCCCTGACTCTGGGAGCTCCCATTCTAAAGGAAGAGACATGGTTCTTGACTCCGGGAGCTCCCAGTTGGAAGAGACATGGTCTCTAACTCTGGGAGTTCACAATCTGATGGAGGAGACACCGTCCCTGACTCTGATGGAGGAAATATGGCCTTTGATTCTGGACGCTCCCAGTCTGATGGAGGACGCATGGTCCCTGACTCTGGGAGATCCCAGTCTGATAGAGGAGACATGGTCCCTGACTCTGGGAGTCCCAGGTCTGATGGAGGAGACATGGTCCCTGACTCTGGGAGATCCCAGTCTGATGGAGGAGATGCTGTCCCTGACTCTGGGAGATCCCAGTCTGATGGAGGAGATGCTGTCCCTGACTCTGGGAGATCCCAGTCTGATGGAGGAGGCATGGTCTCTGACTCTGGGAGTTCCCGGTCTGATGGAGGAGACATCTTTGAGTCCGATGAAAGAGGCGTGGTTCTCTACTGTGGGAGCCCCCAGCCTGATGTGGGAGAGGTCATTCCCAACAGAGAGCCCTGTCTGATGGAGGAGACACACCTAGCAACCTGCATCCTAGTGCATGTCATGCATTTCAGGTTGGGGGCGACGTGGTGTCTGAAGATGGAAACTTCTTGCCCTCATGCCATGTCTCATGGGGGAGGAAAATACCTGCATTCACCCCAACTCCCCAGTGTGGTGGGAGAGGCTGGATCCCCGTGGTTTAGTTTCCACTCACCTGAGGAGAAAAGATGCCCACCCTCACACCACACTCCTATGTATAGCCTTCCATCTGGTGTATACCTTATTTGAACAAGGAGGCCTCGGTCTGCTGGAGGCCCCTCTACCCTTGGTGGACGTCATCGTTTGAGAGGCAAAGCAAGTGCCACATGGGGACCCTCTGGTCAGATGGGAGAGGCACATGCCATGTCCCTCAGGTTTGTGAGGGAGGAGGAGGCCACCTTTGGGACTGTGTCTCCACCGCCCCCCATGCCGCTCACTCACGGGCCACCTGTAGCTCCACCTCCAATGTGTCGGTCTTGCCCTGCAGTGTGACCGTCTTGAGAGTGTAGCGTCCGGCGTCCGTGAGGTTCAGCTTTTGCACCAGCAGTGAGCAGTTGGCGAAGCCCACCTCCCGGCCCGTGTGCGCTGGGCCAGCGATCCAGTTCCCCGACGGCAGCTGGCTGAGCAGTCGGTTGGGCTCTGAGGCCGGTCCACGGTACCAGGCGTAGACTAGCAGGTCCTTGGGGTAGCCCTGGACGGTCAGGGTCACGTCCTGGCCCTCCGTTGGTTTAGTCGGTACAGGCACAATCATCATGGCCACAACTGCGGCTGGAGAGAGAACCACCACCACTATCAGCCAGGTCTGCCCTGGGCATAGAGTGGAGTCCTCCCCCTCCCTTGGCCAGCTCCTCCAGGGACAGTGCTCCCCATGAGGTGCTGTGGAGACAGAGGATGGAGGTGACTTCTTGGGTGATCACGCAGACTTTCTTTCTCAGTGGTGCTTGGCAGGGGCACATCTCCCCTATCTAGAGTTCAGCCTTGGGCGATGGTGCATGTTGTCCCTCCTTTGAAATTGGGAGACCCTAGAGAATCTGGCCATGTCTCCTCCATCAGAATGGAAGCTTCTAAACTCTAGGGGCCATGCCTCCCCTATCAGGTTGGAAATCCCAGAAAATGTGGCTGTGTCTCCCCCATCAGATGTCTGGGACTATTCCCACAGCATGTTATTTTCTGTGAGAGCAGCAGACCCAAGAGTGTGGGGGTGCAACTCCTCCATCAGATCAGAAGACTCTAGAGGGAAGAAGCTGAGCAACCTGTATCACATTAAAAATTCTCACAAGGTGTGACTTCTGTCTCCTCCATCAGATTGGGAAATTCTAGATTTTTTTTTTCAGGCAAGTTCAGGACTCTAGAGTCTGGGAAGATGATTCCATTGGTTTAAGAATCCCTCCAAGGTAGGAGCCTCTGTCTCCTCCATCAGACTAAGACATTGTGGGTTATTAGAGTGGAACATTCTGATCAAGTTAGAGACCCCCAGAGTTGGGAATAACCATCTCAGAATTGTATTGTATCAGAAAATTTCCATAGAAAGTGGGAAGGGGCTCATACTCCCCCACCAGATTTGGAGTTTTCCCAAAGTGGCACCTGTGTCTCCCCCATCAGACTAGGAATTTTAAAGTAAAGTAGTGTCATGTCTCCCAAAGACCTGGAAATTCTTCCAGGCTGTGCCTCCTCCCTTTGACTAGTGGGTTTTATGTCTCCTCCACCAGTGCCTGGGAGCCCTAGGAAGGTGAGGCATTCATTGCCTCTTCTCTTTGACTGGCAGCTCCCTCTGAGATCAGAGAAAGACCACACTTCCTCCATCAGATCAGCTTGTTTTCCCGGGTGGGGTAATACCCATCTCTCTGTCCTCTATCTCTCTCCCAGCACCTGCCACAGGATTTCTGGCAGCTTGGGAGGGAGCAATCTTGGGGGTGTTGCATCAGGTACACCCTGCACATACCTGCAGGCCTTGGGCACCCCCCATGTTGGCCCCGAGGTCATCTGGTCCACCCTGTCTCCAGCCAAGGCCCCTCACAGGTAAGACAGGAGGCACACTTACCTTTGGGGCTGCCATCTTTGCTCTGCGTGAAAGAGGGGTCCATCCCCACCCTTTGCATGAGACCCAGCCTGTTAGTGGAGGAAGAAGGGAGGGAGGAGCGGGAGGACGATTCCCAGTGTCCCCAGGGGACAATGGACACTTGAGAAGAAACCCAGGTAGAATTATTAATGCTTTTTTCTTTTTTTTGAGACAAGGTCTCATGTAGCCCAGACTGACTTCGAATGATGGCCTCAAACTCCTGATCCTCCTGCCTCTCAAACGCTGTGGGTATAGATGAATACTTGCATATCTGCTGTGAAATGAGGACTTGATGTTCAAAGTCACCATCCTTGGGGCATGAGCAGTGTTCCCTGGGGTCCCTCAATGCCCAGCCCCCCCCCCCACATACACATAGAACAGAGGCGTGAAGACAGTGCCTCTGGCTGGGTTCCTTCATTAGCCAACAACTGCCCATGGTTTCCCAGCTGTGGTGCGTGCGTGCGTGAGTGTGCGGTTCAGGTCTGAGTGTCTTGGGTTGGGCAGGACTCTCAGTCTCCAGTGCCTTTTCTACCAACTGCGGTAATTACATGGAAGGACATGGACCCTGGTGTCCCACTCCGCCACCCCACAAGAAGGGGACATGGAGCTCACTTATCACCCAGTCTAACCTCAAGGCAGAGGATATGAGTCGCCATTTATTTTCTACCTGACAGGCTTTGCCTGCCTCTTTTTGCACCTAGACAAGAGAGGGGCAATTCGATATGTCTGCCACCTTGTCATAACCCGGCCAATGAATGTGCTAGGAATCCAGTTATCTTCCAGGAAAACGGTGGCCCAGGCAGCAGAGGCCTGCGGGGCCTCTATAGAGAGCAGCTGGTCCTCAGGCTGGGGCTGACTCACCAGACAGCTTGACCACCACGGAGGCAGAGCCGGACAGCAGGGTCTTGGAGTTCTTAGCAATACACGTGTATGTGCCCTCATGGGCCACAGTCATGCTGCTGATGTTTAGGTGATCCTGACCATTCTTCAAGGCCTTCCCGTTGAAGGCCCACACGTACTCTGGCTCAGGGCAGGATCGGGACACACACCACAGGGTAAGGGACGTGTTGAAGTCCACTTTAATGGTGCAGCCCGTCCGGGTGGTGGAATCTTGGAGGATAGCCACACGTTCAGGGCCGACTGTAGGGCAGGAGGGAGAGACACAGGATGGACAGGGGTGGGCTGGGAGGGGACAGAGGCATGCAACCTGGGTCTTCTTGTCTACCAGATTGGGTCCCTGGGGCTGGTGGGGCTGAGTACAGGGGAGAAAGAACTGGAGACTTTCCTGACCACATCTTGATCTCTAACGCACTCTGTGATCTTGAGACTCACTTCCCCTCCCACAAGAGCCCAAAACTCAGGGTTTTTTTCATCTGTGAAAAAGAATGTGTGGAGCTGGGCGTTGGCTTTTAATCCCAGCACTCAGGAGGCAGAGGCAGGTGGATCTCTGAGTTCAAGGCCAGCCTAGTCTACAGAGTGAGTTCCAGGATAGCCGGGGCTACACGGAGAAACCCTGTCTCAAAACAAAACAAACAAAACAATCTATGTTCTATGTTTTAGGATTCTCAGGCCCTAGAGATCTGTGTGTCTAAGATTCTAGAGCAGTGATTCTCAACCTTCCTAATGCTGTGACACTTTAATAAAGTTCCTCATGTTGTGACGACCCTCAACCATAAAATTATTTTCTTTGCTACTTCATAACTGTAATTTTGCTACTGTTATGAATCGTAACGAATATCTGTGTTTTCTGATGGTCTTAGGCAGCCCCTGTGAAAGGGTTGTTGGACCCTAATGGGGTTGTGACCCACAAATTGAGAACCACTGATCTAGACTCTGTGGCGCTATAAATTGGTTCTAGGATGCTATTTCAGCTGGTGGTATTTCTAGGCTTTTCTGTCTAGACCCTGGATCCTTGCCTCTGCATCTAGAGTTTCTGGTATCTGGAATCCTCTGGTTGTAGGATTTTTTTTTTTTTTTTTTGGTTTTTCGAGACAGGGTTTCTCTGTGTAGCTTTGCGCCTTTCCTGGGACTCACTTGGTAGCCCAGGCTGGCCTCGAACTCACAGAGATCTGCCTGGCTCTGCCTCCCGAGTGCTGGGATTAAAGGCGTGCGCCACCACCGCCCGGCCGGTTGTAGGATTTTATACAGTTCAGTTTTTATACACCAGTTTGATTTTTTTTTTAATTAATTTTTTTTTTTTTTTTTTTTTTTGAGACAGAGCCTCATTATGTAGCCCTGGCTGGTCTCGAACTCACAGTGATTCTCCCGCCTGTGCCTCTTGGATTAAAAGGGTGGTCCACCACGCCCCAGGCATCTCAGTGATTCGTTTTCTCAGGATTCCACGTCACACGACTGCCACCCCAGGAACTATTACTATGAGCTTCTGTGATGAGCTTTGGTGATGTCCCCTCTGAGCCCTGAGTCCTGGTGACGTTCTCCCCCACCCTTTCGAATCCAAGCACCCCTGTGTCCGTTTGGTCATTTTATTCAGGGATCTTTTTCTTTTTTCTTTTCTGACAGGGCCTCATGTAGCCCAGGCTGGCCTTGAACTCAGTATGCACCTTATAAGGACCAGAACTGTCTCCACTTCCCTAACACTAGGATTATAGATTTACATTAACATGATCAGTTTGTAGTTCAGACAGAACCCAGGGCTTGGTGCATGCCAGACAAGTGTCCTAACAGCTCAGCTATATCCCAGCCTTCCTGGCCACATACACCCCCGACACACACCTTTTTTTTTTTTTTTTTTTTTTTTTTTTTTTTTTTTTTTTTTTTTTTTTTTTGAGACAAATCTTGTTACCTAACCCAGCTGCCTTGATGGCGATCTTCTTCTCACTACCTGTGGATTCCTTGATATGGCAGGTGCATGGTCCTCACTCATCTACATCGACCTGACGTTATCAGCCACAATCTGTACTTCATGAAGTGACCGGTCAAGTGTGTTTTAAGAGGGACCCTTGCTTCTTCCCCAGCCTGCTTGCTGTGGGACTGTGGACTCCTTCTCTTGGCCTCAGTTTCCCCATTTGTGAGATGCGGATCCCGGGTGCCTCGGAAGACTCACAGTAGACGGTCAGGTTCAGGGGCTCGCTGCGGCTGACGCTGACCGGGTTCCACACCTCGCACTGGTAGGCGCCCGCCTCCTCCCTGCGGATGCCATGACGGGTCAGCACCCTGCCATCGGGGGACAGGCCCAGGCGGACAGCAACGGGCAGAGCGTCACCGTTGAAGAACCAGCGGACCTCAGCCGGGCTGGGGCTGCTGCACACGAGGCGAAGGGTGTCCCTGCGCTCCACCAGCGCAGTGTCGTTGGCCATGACCGTGGGAGGGGCCAGGATCTCTATGAGGGGGAGCGAGAGACAGAGGGGGAGGGGAGGGGCACCTCCTGTCCCCGGGGCAAGAAGCACCGCCACGCTGTGCTTCTGTACCCCCAGCCATAGTGACAAAGAATGGCTTTAGAAGACAGATATCACCCTGGAAGCCAGAATGGAGAAGGTGAGCATTTTCGTGTTATTTTAGGCATTCCCCCCCCCCCCTACACACACACACCCTGTTTTAAGAGGCTGGCAAGATGGCTCGTGGGTAAAAGCACTTGCCACCCAACCTGACGACCCGAGTTGGACCCCTGGGTCCCACATGGTGGGAGGAAAGAACTGACTCTCCAAAGTTGTCCTCTGACCTCCACATGTGTGTTTGTGACACACAAACAATGCTCGGGTACACACACACACACACACACACACACACACACTCAATAAATGCAATTTTAAAGATATATATATATATATATATATATATATATATATATATATATATATATATATATATATATATATATATTGCTTCTGTTCATCAAAGGAGGCGAAGGAGGGGTGAGGAGAAGGGTGGAAAGTCCCGGATGGGTTGCAGGGGTGGCTCACCATAGACCTGCACGTGTCCGTAGCCCACCTCCGTCTGAAACTGCCTGTTAAGGGTCTGTATGATATAGGTGCCTGTGTGTCCCGGCAGGGCACCATGGATAGCAAGGCTGCCATCCGGACGCACAGCTTCCCGCCCTGTGTGGGCCGGTCCAGGGGTCTCGTCACCAGTGCTGACAATGTAACTGGCCACCAGGAAGGTCAGGCTGAGCGTGGGCCCTGCGTACCAATTGTAGGCAAGCAGTTCCCCGGAGAGCCCGCGGACCACCAGCGTGACATTGTCTCCCTCTGCGGGCTGGGCAGGCTCAGGGGTGATGGAGATCTCAGCCCGGGTGACGTTCAGCATCCAGGCTGCGAAAGAACAGAAGGGGCAGGTTGGATGGGTAGGATTGACTTGTCACCTCGTTTGACAGGAGTTGACTGGCTCGGAGGTGACATCCCCAGTGTCTACAAGGTCAGACACAAGCAAGATTTGTGCCTCCCATGCCCACACTTCCCCCTGGGATAGAACCTAGGGCCTCATCCATGTTCCTCACTGGAGGATTTTAGGCAGGGGCTCTACCACTGAGCCACACCCCAGGCCCTCACTGGGGGATTCTAGGCAGGGGCTCTACCACTGAGTGACATCCCAGCCCCTCACTGGGGGATTCTAGGCAGGGGGTCTACCACTGATCCACACCCCAGCCCCTCACTGGGGGATTCTAGGCAGGGGCTCTACCACTGATCCACACACCCCAGCCCCTCACTGGGGGATTCTAGGCAGGGGCTCTACCACTGAGCCACACCCCCAGCCCCTCACTGGGGGATTCTAGGCAGGGGCTCTACCACTGATCCACACACCCCAGCCCCTCACTGGGGGATTCTAGGCAGGGGCTCTACCACTGAGCCACACCCCCAGCCCCTCACTGGGGGATTCTAGGCAGGGGCTCTACCACTGAGCCACACCCCAGCCCCTCACTGGGGGATTCTAGGCAGGGGCTCTACCACTGATCCACACCCCAGCCCCTCACTGGGGGATTCTAGGCAGGGGCTCTACCACTGAGCCACACCCCAGCCCCTCACTGTGGGATTCTCGGCAGGGGCTCTACCACTGAGCCACACTCACAGCCCCTCACTGGGGGATTCTAGGCAGGGGCTCTACCACTGAGCCACACCCCAGCCCATCACTGGGGGATTCCAGGCAAATATCCTGCTACTGACCCCAGCTCCCACCTGGTAACCCTCTGGCCCTCAACATCTCAGTCACCTAATTTTGAATAGGGAGTGGAGTCTGAACTTTCCTATGAGATGGAGAAGACTTGTCTGGAAGTCCTGATCTTCCTGCCTCAGTCTCTCAGTGCTGGGGTTCAGGGATGTTCCAACAGGCCAGGCTCTGAACACCCGAGCATTCGTGGAGTCTGTCTGCAAAGCTCTATGTAGCAGCCTCTTTCTGCACATACCTCCATTTTCTCAAGGTTGGTGATACAAAGGAGAATTCTACACCCTATGCCACCCGGCCTGGCATCTTGCACCCAGCAAGTGCATGGCCAGTGCTCTGCAGAGTGAAATGGGATGAGGAGGCTTCCCAGGAGAGGCACCGGGGTGAGACTCGAACAGGCCCCTGGGCTCATGTGGTCAGCTGAGTCTGTGACCTCGTGTTAACATCAGGGGCTCCCTAAGTCTTTCACGCAATCCGGGGGTACTTCCTCTGTGTGCACAAGGGCCTCCACGTAGAGAGCAGAGATCTGTGGAATCCCTCCCTTCCTTTCTCTTTCCTTCTTCCTTTCTATAGTCTGTCCTCCATCCCCCAGGTATCCCATGCTGGCCTCGACATATAGCAGAGGATGACCTTGAACTTCTGATCTCTCTGCCTTTACCTCCTGAGTGCTGGGTGTCTGGGCTTGTATCACCACACCCAGTTTATGCTGTGCTGGGGATCAAACCCAGTGCTTCCCCCCCCCCCGAGCCACACCCCCAGCCTCCTCCACCTCTCCTCCGCAAACAGACAAGTTCCAACCAGTAGGGCTGGTCCTGGCTGCTTCCTTCTTATCTGTACTTGGCTCGCTCACATGGCGGCCCTGGTGTTTCTCACATGACACACACTTGCAGGCCTGGCCTGGTTTCCAGTCCTTTCCTGGTTGGGAGAAAGTGGGTGGTAGTGACAGGTTCTGGGCTTAGGGCAAATGCCACTATGTGTTGTGAGACCCTGGCCAGCAAGTCACCTCTTCGAGGCCTGGTTTTCCTCTCTAGGAAGTCGGGCCACGAGTGACCATCCCTCTCGGGGTGGATGCTAACAAGTGAAAAAGATTCGAAGTAGGTAAACAGCAGGCATTAGTTGGTCTTCCTTCTAAGGGCACTAGGTAGAACGATCCTGTCAGCGAGGCCCATTTTCAGCTAAGTAAACTGAGGCTGAGGGTAGAGCAGCAAAAACCAGGCATGGTGGTCACACTCAGGAAGCTGAGGCACGAGGATTGTCTCAAGTTTGAGGCTAGCCTGGGCTATATAATGAGAAGACCCTGTCTCAACAACAACAATCAAAGATTTCACTAGTCCTGGGCCTGGTGACACACACTTTTAATCTCAGCACCCAGGAGGCAGAGGAAGGTAGCTCTCTGAGGGTTCAAAGCCAGCCTGGTCTACAGAGCAAGTTCCAGGTTAGCCAGGGCAACAGTGAGACCCTGTCTCCAAAACAAAAGACAACATAAAGTTGCTGGGGGTGGAGTTCAGATTGTAAAGTGTTTGTTTAGCAAGCAGGGAGCCCTGGGTTCAATCCCCAGCACATCAACCTGGCATGATGGCACATACCTGTAATCCCAACGCTAGGGACATGGAGGCAGAAGGACTGGAAGTTCAAGGTCATCCTCAACTACAAAGTAAGTTTAAGGCCAACTTGGGCTATAGGAGACCTTACCTCAAAAGCATCTAAACCAAGCCCAAGCAAGGGGAGTTTGGAATCCCTGCCACTGGTCAACTTGCTTTGCTCAGGCTGTGGGACCCTCTAAAGCCCCCCTTGCTAACATCTCTCCGTGGCAATCTCCAGGCCTCCCCTCAAGAGCAAACTGCCCCAGAGTGAAGCAAAGTTGCATGCTGGACATCTGGCTCCCACCTTCCCTCCCCCAGCAGGGGTTCCTCTCTCTGTCTTTAGCCCTTGGAGGTACAGGGAGTGGGCTGAGGATCTGGGGAGTGGGGGACCCTTCTCGCTCACCACTGAGGAAGAGCCAGCTGCACCGGGCCAATGCCATCTTTCACCCCAGGTTGATGTCGCAGATGGTTGGTGGTGATGGCGTTCCAGTCTCAGAGGCCCTTCCTGGTTGAGGCTTGGCTCGGTCTGCCACTGGACCTGGGATCGGTCGGCAATTTGGAACCGGGGCGGATCACCGGAATTTGGAGGGATCGAGTCACAGAGGATCTGGGGCCCTGTTTGGGCACCGGGATGGGTGTGGCAAGCACCGGCCAAGGGCCATGACCTGGCCAGGCCTCCTGGGGCAGCTGCCTAATCCACTTTGTGCCAAAGGCCCAGATTTGGTACCGAAGAGGAGAACCAGGTCACCGGCGGGGAGGGAGGAGGGATACCAGAAGATTCTGGGCCAGTTCTTGACCATCATGCCTACGGCCTCCTGATGCACAGTGGGGTCACCAAAGGGCACAGGACAGAGACGTCTGCTCCTCTAGCCTCAAGACTTCAGGGAGCGACCAGTGTCACCACAGTGGATGGCACAACTCTGTGGGGTGGGAGTCTTTAAGACTCTCGCTTGCTTGGGAGGTAGAGGCAGGAGAAATTCCTGAGTTCAAAGTCATCCTCAGCTGTAGTGATGAAGAGGCCAGCCTGGGCTACAGTGAGACCCCGTCCCAAAAAAAGTCAAGAGGGAAAAACTACTTGTTTGTTTGTTTGTTTGAAGCAGGGCTCCGTGTAGCTCGGGCTAGATTTGAATTTATTATGTCGCCAAGGATGGCCTTGATGGCCTGATCGTCCCACATCTACCTGAGTGTTGGCATTGTAGGTGTTCACCACCAAGCATGGTTGATGTGGGGCTGGGAGTGGAACCCAGGGCCACGTGGATACCCGGCGAGTGCTCTCCCATCAAGCTCCAACCTTCCTTTTTCTTTTCTCTCCTCTCACTCTGGGTCCCCTGCCTTCCCCTCTTTGTTTTTATTATTATGATGGAAGACAGGTGGCATGTGCCATCAACATTCATGGGGACACCAGAGCACAACTTCTGTTTCTATCGCGTGGCTTCCGGGAATCAAACTCAGGTTGTCAGTCTTGGCCGCAGTGGCTTTACCCACCTATCCACCTTGCTGGTATTTCCCCACTCCCCACCCCTCCCACCCCTGCCCCTCCGGGTTTCTCTGTGTAGCCCTGGCCGTCCTGGAACTCACTCTGTAGACCAGGCTGGCTTTGAACTCAGAGATCCGCCTGCCTCTGCCTCTGAGTGCTGGGATTAAAGGTGTGTACTTCCCCCCACCTTGGGCTTTATTTCTTAATTACATGCATGTGTTGTGTATGTCTGTGTGTGGCTCTCTGCATGCGAGTGCAGGTGCCCGTGAAGGTGAAGGCCAGAGGCGTTGGAGTCCCTAGAGTTACCTGTTGTGAGGCTTCCGATGTGGGTGCTGGGAACTGAACTGGGGTCCTCTGCGAGAGCAGTCCACCCACTTAAGAGCTGAGCCCCTCTTTTATGACACAAGGTCTCACTGTATAGTTCAGGATGGTCCAGAGCTCATTCAGTAGCTCAGACAAGCTTTGAACTCTCGAGCTTCCTGCTTCAGGCCCCTGAGGGCTGGGATTACAGATGTGAACCACCACATCTGGCTCTAATTTTACTTTCTTGCCTTTTTTTTCTTTTCTTTCCTTTCTTTCTTTCTTTTCTGTTGTTTTTGATTTTTCGAGACAGGGTTTCTCTGTGTAGCCTTGGCTATCCTGTCCTGGAACTCGCTCCGTAGACCAGGCTGGCCTCGAACTCACAGAGATCCACCTGCCTCTGCCTCCCGAGTGCCGGGATTAAAGGCGTGTGCCACCACCGCCCGGCATCACATTTTATTTATATTTATTTTATTTATTTATTGTTGAGGGGAGGGTGTGAGATGCTCCTGATAACTTGTAGAAGGAATCAGTTCTCTCCTTCCATCCTGTGGGCTCCAGGAACTGAACTCGGGCCATCCATTCTTCTCTCTTTCTTTAAAATTAAAAGTTTACTGTACGTGCCCAGCTCTTTTGCCCACGTGTATGTCTGTCCAGCGCCCGTGGAGGCCAGAAGAGGGCGGCAGATCCCCTGGGACAGGAGTTAGAGATAAGTCAGTTGCCTTGTGGGTGCTGGGAATTGAACCCCGGTTCTTTGGAAAAGCAGCCTGTGCTCCTAACCAGTGAGCCATAG